ACCTGTATTTACCTTGCACAGTAAAAATAAAGAATTAAAAAAAAAAAAATAACTGGGATGAAGTTGAGTGACGCAACATCAGGAAATAAACTAAAACCCTTACATGAACTTACCCTCTCTAACACCCACACGGGGGTTAAAATCTTTTTCCACGACCAACTGAACCACTTCATCAAAACCCAGTCACTTCTACCAGAAGGCATTAGACCTCTCACTAGATTTGAACTTTTATGCACCTCCCACCCACCAAAGGTAAAAATGCTTTCCACCCTACACTCAGTAATTAGAGAGGCATACCCACAAAACCTCCCTAACTTCACTCTAAAATGGGCAGAGGAACTACAAACTAACATCACTACCCAACAATGGAAGAACGCCTTCATGTCCGTCCATAAATCCTCCATCTCAGCATACGCACAAGAATGTAATTACAAAAAAGTAACCCGCTGGCACAACACACCCGCTAAACTCCACAAATTCTTTCACTCAGCTCCAGATCAATGCTGGAGGTGTAAGACTTCAAATGCACACCACACCCACATTTGGTGGCAATGCCCAATAATTCATAGATTTTGGAAAAGGATCCACACTATCATACAACTAATATTCCATAAGACGTTCCCGTGTATCCCGGAATATTATATCTTTTTACTATCACCCCGTACACTCACGACACTAGAGACGGCCCTGTTTTGCCACTTAGTCATGGCGGCTTCCCAACTAATCCCTAAACTTTGGAAGCAATCCAGGCCACCTTCAATTCGTGAATGGATACTGAGAGTTGATGATATTAAATTGATGGAAGAAATCACCTCAGCTAAAATGGGAAAACAAGCTAAATTCTTGTCCATATGGGACCCATGGATTCATCACATGCACTGCAACCCACCCCCACCAAAATAGACTGACCTAACACTTACCTTTATCCTCATCGAAAATACAAGCCCTATTCATAAACTTCTGCCTCTCCCACCATCGTACCACTGCAGCTTTCTCTTCCGCCCTTTCCTCCCTGGTTGAGGTTGGTGGGAGTTGAAAGTAACCGACTGACAAGACACGTACAACCGTCACTCAATCTTGCTTCCCTGAGGGGACAGCAAGGTACCATCCCCTACTTTTATACACCCGCTTTTCTTTCCATATACTCAATAGTCCTCCGCCGAGCCTAGGTTTTCCGACCCACAGAGGGGAATTATCCCTTTAGAAACACATGAAGCGTACCAGTATAGACCGGGTCTCAGGGTATTGCACTAATGTAATGGTTCCTTTCAATTGTTTACTGCTATAGTATTATTGCTTGTTATGTTATCCTTTCAATTGCCTCATCTACCACTACCACTATTTTCCTTTTTGTGGTGATGACTCTACTACAACATGTACCTTCCACTATGTGATATTTTAATACTGTTTAAAATAGTGAAATACCGAACTTGTAACCTTAATGTAATCTCGCTGTACCAAAACTTATGTTTACCTATGTCAAACATACAAAACAATAAAAAGATAAAAATAACTGGGATTATAGCTCTTTTCTATGGAATGACAGGTAAATGATACAATGGAATGCCCATAGAGTATAATGGGAAGCAATATGTGACTTGGTATCTGAACCGTGAAACATATCAAGTAAATCCTTTGCAGGCATACTCTGCGAGTTCAGTGGCAATTTTTGAAATTGAGATTAAGTGGGATTATCATTGTTTTTCTATAGAATGACAATGGTGAATGAATAAAGAGAATGCCCATAGAGTATAATGGGAAGTAGAATATAAACTTATTTGCAGGGAAATCTGTGTTACATAGCAAATTAACCTTTGCCACAGGGGTTCCCCAAGTACAGCAGCAGATTGTAACTTTAAAAGTAACTGGGATTATAGCTCCTTTCTATGGAATGACAGGTGAATGATACAATGGAATGCCCATAGTAGAGTATAGTGTATATCAACTCTGTTGTAAGGAAATCTGAAAGATATAGCAAGTTAAACATAGCATCCCTCCTTAGACAACTTAGACTACAGCATTTAGCCTTCTACTACAGCCCCTAACCCTCAATTGCAGCCCACACACCCTACTACAGCCCCTATCCCCCTACTACAGACCCTACACCCTACTACAGTCCTTTAGTCCCCACTACAGCCCCCATACTCTACTTTAACCGATAACCCCCTACTACAGCCCTGTAACGAACTACCTTTCTCCGTTGGCTTTTGGAGAGGCCTTCTTGACAGCCTCTTGCCCTGTGACTATGGCCCCTGGGGTGTATTGCCCTTTAAAAACTCTATTTGTGCCTATTGTATTTCAGAGCACTGTTTCTGACCCTTTAAATGGTACTGGTACAGTTCTGCATTTTTGAAGTGGCACTTCGGATGCAGCTGAAGTGCCGAAGTAGTCGCCATTCGACATACGAACACGTGGCGGCGGCCATTTTAATTCAGTCGAACACCTTCAGCCGTGTTTGGTCGTCGAGTCTCTCTCCCCTTTGTGCTTCCTCTTCCGCTCCCTCGCGCGCCACACTGATACTGGAGCAGGAAGATGACGTCATCTTCCGGCTCCGGCATCCCTACGCGGTGCGCGAGGGAGCGGAAGAGGAAGCACAGAGGGGAGAGAGTGCTCCCTCGCGCGCCCGCCACCCAGCCAGCCCGCCCAGGAGCCCAGCAGCACCACCACTGGACCCCAGGGAATCCCCCCAGCACTCCAAAAGGTAAGGAGGCTGGGGGGATTAAATAAAAAAAAAAAAAGAGTTAGTGTTTTAGTGTGTGTGTGTGTGTGTGTGTGTTAGTGTGTGTTAGATCAATTTTTGCACCGGGGCCCCATGGGTCATGTGTACGCCACTGACTGTATGTGTGGCTTTGTGTGTGTGTGTAAGACTGTATGTGTGGTTATCTGCCTGTGTGTGTGGCTGTCTGCCTGTAATTGTGTGTGAGTATGTTTATCTACCTGTAACTGTGTATTACTGCCTGATCCTGTGTATGTGACTATCTGCCTGCGACTATGTGCATGTGGTGTCTTTGACAGTGTATATGAGAGTGTGTGTCTGTCAGTGAGTGTGTGAGTCTGTCAGTGAGTGTGCGTCTGTCAGTCAAAGTGCGGCCTAGACCTGAAGGGGTGGGAAAAATTTTAATTAGGGGGGGTGCCTGAGCACCGTCCTGCCTAGAGCAGCACAAAACCTAAATAAATCACCAATTAGGTATACATATCTGTATTCCTTACACTACAGTCCTGATGCACCTTAATAAATAGGTCTCCCCCTCTAAAGAGTAAAAAAAAATTCAAATAATTACTCACCCTTCCAGACTTGGTGCCCCCTCCTGCTTTGGCGCCACCCGGATGATGGGTCAATCCAATGCACATCAGAGAGGAGTATTGTGCGCCTTGGGCACATGCAATGATTCTCTATTGCCGACCGTGACGGCACTGTGCATGCATGCGTAACGTCAAGGTATGTTACAGTATGAGAATTGGGAAGTAAGATTCCTGGCTCTCATACCCAGAAGGCTTGGAGACACGTATTGAGGTCGCTCTTCCAAGCCCTATATTTAGACACACACACGCATAAGCCCTGTCGCGCTATAACACGGTAACAGTGCTGACATTGCAAATGCACCGGCACCAGTTCCGTCGCTACACATGGGTCTCGGGCAATTTCAAAAATTTACACTGAACTCGTAGAGTAAACCTGCAAAAGATTTACTTGATATGTTTCACGGTTCAGATTCCAAATCACATGTTACTTGCCATTATACTCTATGGGCATTCCATTGTATCATTTACCTGTCATTCCATAGAAAAGAGCTATAATCCCAGTTATTTTTAATTTTAGAATCTACTGCTGTACTTGGGGAACACATGTGGTAAAGATAAATTTGCTACAAAACACAGATTTACCTGCGACTTAGTTTATGTGTTGCCTCCCATTATAGTCTATGGGCATTCTCTTTATTCATTCACCATTGTCATTCTATAGAAAACAATGATAATCCCACTTAAACTCAATTTCAAAAATTGCCACTGAACTCGTAGAGTATGCCTGCAAAGGATTTACTTGATATGTTTCACGGTTCAGATTCCAAGTCACATATTGCTTCCCATTATACTCTATGGGCATTCCATTGTATCATTTACCTGTCATTCCATAGAAAAGAGCTATAATCCCAGTTATTTTTAATTTTACAATCTGCTGCTGTACTTGGGGAACACATGTGGTAAAGATGAATTTGCTACATAACACAGATTTACCTGCGACTTAGTTTATGTGTTGCCTCCCATTATAGTCTATGGGCATTCTCTTTAGTCATTCACCATTGTCATTCTATAGAAAACAATGATAATCCCACTTAATCTCAATTTCAAAAATTGACACTGAACTCGTAGAGTATTGTGGCAAAAGATGTATTTCATATGTGTAATAGTTTTGTCTCTAATTGAAATATTTTGTTTCCATTATTCTCTATGGGCATTCCTTTCACTTCCATTATTGTCTATGGGCATTCCACTGCCTTGTTAAAGTCTATGGGCATTCCAATCTGTCATTCCTTTTTGTATGTCCCTAAAGAAAGAAGCCTGACTAAATAGAAATGTGATCACACTAGCTATACTGGGGTAGAATTAAGGTTGCCAGATCCAATGGCTTTCACAACACATTTGTACTTCATGTTGATGTGATATACATGAAAAGTACTAACCAGCTGTAAGTAACACTCACCTGCTACAGCTAAGAAAGTAATTAATTACCCAAGCAAATTGCCTTTATTAGTTCATTTATGCATTACTATCCTATGGCAAATCAAAACTACAAACTATAATCAGCTATAATTTTCATGTGCTGTCCAGATCAGCGTGAATAAGGGGCATGTGGGAAATCATACAACTCTCAGGCAGGTTATACTGTCATGCCAAAGCTTCCTCTACCAATATGGCCGCCACATAAAGTCATTGTGGGGTCATGTGGTCAGTGTGGGTTATACAGAAATAGAGGATCTAATAGTTGAACTATCGCTTACCCACCATTAGTAGCCGCTCCGCAGTGCGACCTTTAATCGCCACGTGACTCATACGCCGACCAAGTAGGAGAGAGCACAACATCTTTAGGGGCAGCATACTTTCCCTTGCCTCATTGAGAGCACTTCCGGTGTAGATTATGAGAGTAGCAAGATGGCGCCTTTGCAGCAGTGACGTCATTACACATTGACTTCCTGTTAAGATTTTTTTTTTTAGCTGTTCTTATTCCCAATATGTTTTCATTGTCCATAATGATAACCTATAATAATAATAACCTGTGCATGTTTTACATGCTTAGCATATTATTAGTCTTTATGTATGTTAAATGGTATACATTATTTTATTGTACATGTCCTGTGCAGTTTATTAAATTGGTATTTAAGGATTATGATTAGCTGTACTCATATTTGTTTATTTATATAATCGCTGTCAGGACTGTAAGAATGTTTACTAAACTGTATGAGCATAACTGAACACATTTGCATGGCTTAAACTACAGTATATGAAATGTATGGATCCCATAGTGCAATAGCCTCTTAAAGGTGCAGCATGATGGAACACTGGGCAAAAAAATTACCTTCCAACTTTCCTCTCTATTTTGGGCCTGAATTCCAAAGTCTACCTTTTATAGTCCAATCACGTCCCCTTTTTCTAGAAGCTCTGTATTTGTAGCGTGTGAGAGTATTAACAGAACCTAATTAAGCAGTTTTGGTGTATAGATCACGCCCCTGCAGTCTCACTGCTCAATTCTCTGCTATTTAATAATTAAGTCACATTTCTTATGCAGTTATTTAGTCAATCTTCCCTGCATGTGACTTGCACAGACTTCCTAGACACTTCCTGTAAAGAGAGATCTAATGTTTAAACATCCTTTATTGTAAATTCTGTTTAATTTAGAATTTCTTATCTCCTGCTCTGTTAATAGCTTGCTAGAGCCTGCAGGAGCCTACTGTGTGTAATTTACATATAATTTACAGAGTAGGAGATAAACACTTCTAAAGCAAGTTCACATCTGATTGAAAATTAAGCCATTTTTTTAATGTAGGCTGTCAGTCACAACCAAGGAAAGGTGTGGCTAGGGCTGCATATACAGTAGCAAATATAATATAACTCCTAAATAGCTGAGAATGGAGCAGTGAGACTGCTGAGGCATGATCTATTCAACCACACTGCTTTATTAAAGGAAAACTATAGTGCCAGGAAAACAAACTCATTAATAACCCCTTCTGTCACTTACCTGGGTCCAGCACCGATGTCCCTAGGTGCTGGCTTGGCTCAGCCCTTCCTCCTCCACCTTCAGCGTGGGAGACCTAATGCGCAGGCACGGCAATGGCCGCGCTCGAATAAGGATTTTTCAGTGCTTTCCTATGGGGATTCCGATGACACTGGAAGTCCTCATGCAGAGCGTGAGGATGTCCAGTGTCGTTTAGGCAACCAAAAGTCCCTCTAGTGGTTGTCTGGTAGACAGCCACTAAAGGAAGAGTTACCCTAGCAGGCAATTATTGCAGTTTAGAAAAACTGTAAAAATGACATGCTCATGGTTAAGGGTGATGGGAGTTTGCACCCAGACCACTTCAATGAGCTGAAGTGGTCTGGGTGCCTACAGTGTCTCTTTAAGCTAAAGTTGTATTGGGGCCTATTGTGTCCCTTTAAACTATAATCAAGGTGTTTAGAGATTAGTCTGTAAATAAATTACCTTGGTCAAGTTCTGAATTAAATTGTCAATTACAATAAATGGTACGGTATTAGGGATGCCATATCCACCAATTTTTTTTGGGGGGGCACATATAAGTTATAGAAACTGGTGGACAATATACGTTAAGTGTTGTCCTGTAGTATGTAAGAAAAATGTCATGTAGGAAATTATTGCAAAATTTGTCCTATAAAATAAATGAAATTCCAGACATATGAGGCATTTTAACCATGAGGACTAATAAATGAATCTATTTTGAGTTACTTATATTTAGTTGCGCTTGTGGAAAAACTATAATAAGGAAAACTATAAAAAAAATATATTTTTCTATTTTTTAATATTTTATTTAAATGTAATGTGCATTGTATACATAAGAAAGACCTATCCTTAAAAAAAGTACAATATAAAAATATGTATGGGTGCATTTAATGGAACAAACGGATATTAGAAGTGCAGAAAATGGCCTCAGTTATGATTACAGATTTTCAGAAAAGCCTCGGTCACTATGGTGTAAAGTACAAGAAACTTTATAAATTATGGTCTTAAAATAATAAACTTTAGTCTATAGTTCCAAATTACATTTCCGGTTACATAAATGGTTGTCCATAGGTAATAAAATCACCTAAAATGTCCCACCCCCTAAAATATGAGTATCCCTCTTCGGCCATTTTAAATGATGGTGGGTATGTTGAAAAGTTTCAGGGATTAATGAAGGGAAGACCAGTTTCACATCCACTTTTACTTCAGACGCCTGTTTCTAAATTAATCTTTTATACAGTGTAGTTCATTTAGACCATAGTATTATTGCTTTTTTTTGTTCTCCTGTTTCTTTAATATAAAGTTCTGTGTAATGGCTGAGTAAGAGCTGATTTTATCAGTAACAATAACAAGTTTTGTCTCAGATAAATATCCTTGTGCCTTGACCTGTAAAAAAAAAAGGAAAATAATACTGAATGATTATTAAGTAGAATGGCATGAAATATGGATTAATGTCTGTGTAAGATGAGCAAATCAGGTATTAATGTTAAAGCTGGGGTTCACAAACTTAAATGGATGTTCGGTAAACTGGGGCTTGTAAATACTGAAAACCTTGGTGTATTTATATAAATGTGTGTGTGTGACCTAGGCTTGACAAAGGCACAAACGTATGGAAACATTGCTTTTCCACCTCTGTGATGTCTATAATAAAGGCACACTAAATTATTTTGGGCATAGGACATCTCTTATTGCTGGTTTGGGAAGCGGAGATCCCTTCATATGTCTTAGCTGGACAATGTCACACTCCATGTTCATATGGAGCGGTTAGATAGGTGGAGAACCCTGCATTACTCACCCGTACTTTGTATTTCCCAGGAATCAGAATCTTGTAAAACTCGCCATAGTTGTTTGCTTGGTATACATATTTCTTTTTTCTTGTTGTAAATTGAATAGTTGCTTTAGGTACACTATTTCCTGAGGTGTCCACTACTCTGCCTTTTATACCTGTATTAAGATAAAGAAATCCTGGAAAAATGCAAAAATAACATAGAATGCAAAGGGGATTTGGCTGTTTAATATATGGAAAATTGAGTTGGCTTGGCAAAAATATGTGAACTTGAACTACAGCAGATTTTTCCAAACTATTTGTCATTGGCCTAAGATTTCTAATTCTATTGTAGACACAAGGATGCAGCCATGAAAATTGACCTATGAACTATTGAGAAAAGTAAAAACAAAATGTATATGACAAGTTCATTTACTTCCATGTGGTGAGAGTCCACAAGTCCTAACAGAAGATAAAGTCCCTCGCAACCATTGGAGGTAAAACACCAGTAATGCAACACTTCAGCACAATCCTCCCTCTCTAGATCATCTATTAGAATCCTCAGTTCTATGACAGCCAAGTGGAGAATGTGAAAGCGCGGGAGGAAACAACAAAGCGAGCATGGCAGTTGAACTCAAGCCTAGGCACTGACACCCAATGAAGAGTGAAATAGGGTTCTCACCATTTGGATAGAAATGTATTTGTTAGGTAACATACAGGTTTTATTTTCTATCCTTGCATTATTATTATTATTATTATGATATTTATATAGCGCCGTCAAATTCCGCAGTGCTTTACAATGGGTGGACGAACAGCCAAGTAGTTGTAACCAGACAAGTTGGACACACAGGAACAGAGGGGTTGAGGGCCCTGCTCAATGAGCTTACATGCTAGAGGGAGTGGGGTAAAATGACACAAAAAGGTAAGGATAGTATTAGAGTAGTGACAGTTGCAGAAGAGGAATCAGTCAGGAGCTATTAACAGTTTAATTGATACGCTTTTATGAAGAAATTAATAGAGAGAAGAAACAAAAGGGTAAACCCTTCTGAGATATGAGTAACCCAGATAAAACGTAACTTTTAATTAATATAGTGTAAAAAATTGATGTAATAAAAAATAAGACTAAGCAGAGTAAATATATATGCTTAGATGGGAGTAAATAAAACTCCTAAATCACGAAAAAAATAAATAAAGTAATAAAGAAATATAACCTTAACGACGAAACGCGGGTCGGGACGTTCTTTGTATTATGTGGCTTCTATGATGAGGGAAGACATGCTTTAATATATTCAGACTATACCACCCATACAAGATTTATTATTATTATTTTATTTATTTGCACTTTTTCTTTTATTTTTTACTCCAGTTTTCGTTCTTTGATTTCTTAACATCCTGCATTTATTCTACTTAGAGGAGGGGAGGTGGGTACTAGTATTTTTTAAGGGATGCCCTCGAAGGCACAGAAGAGTAGGGAAGCTAGTCTCTCTATTTTTAGCTTTCTCTCCTGCCTATATATACGATCTTCTGCAGGGCTTGCTGCTCTGCCAGTATCCAAACCGCATTTACCTTTGTCCCTCCTCTCTATTTATTAGACTAGCAACATTTGTTACTATTGCTAGCAGTTACATTTGCTGTTAATTTGTATCTACTTCTTGCAGTATTGTTTTCTTACTTCTAACTACCACTGGCTCACAGAGTGATATTATTGAATTTTCTGTTATTTCTTTAATAGGGTTATATTTCTTTATTACTTTATTTATTTTTTTCTTATATGATTTAGGAGTTTTATTTACTCCCATCTAAGCAGAAGCTATATTTACTCTGCTTAGTCTTGTTTTTTATTACATCAATTTTTTACACTATATTAATTAAAAGTTAAGTTTTATCTGGGTTACTCATATCTCAGAAGGGTTTACCCTTTTGTTTCTTATCTGTATTCATTTGTTCATTGATCCTGGGGGTTATCCCCCCTACCTTAGAGTAACCTGACACCTTCTCCCTGATAGGTTTTTCTCCCGCTTTTATGAAGAACTGGATTTTTAATGATTTTTTTGAAGGAGTGGAGACTGGGTGAGCATCTAATGGAGGAGAGAAGTGAGTTCCCTAGGAACTGTGCAGCCCTCGAGAAGTCTTGAGGTGGGAGTACGGACAGAAGATAGACGTAAGTGTTCAGCAGATCGTAAGGGCCTAGACGGGACATACTTGTGTATAAGGGAGGATAGATAGGTGGGAGCAGCATCATGTAGCGATTTAAAAGCAAGAACCAGAATTTTAAATTGAGCTCTATATTTTATAGGAAGCCAATGTAGGGACTGACAGAAGGGTGAGGCATGGGAGGTGCGGGCGGACAGGAAGATGA